GAAATGTCACGAACTTATGGCCTGATTTCGTATAGTTCTGAACAGCAAGTGGAGAGTGAGCGTTCAGTGCAAGAGAACGCAGACAGAACGCACGACTCATTGAAAATCGAGTGCACCAAAGATGAGCAACCCATATCGTCTCAAGTTGAGGATAGGCAGAAACAGGACGAAGTTGAGTCAGAGGAGAGATTAGCAGTTGAACAACAAGGAATCACAGAAGGACAACAACTTACTGCATCCGTGGCGGCATCTGATCAAAATTCAGTATCCGAGCAGCTGAAATGCCGTCCAACGACAACAAAGTCGGATTCAGAGCCGTCACCGTCGATATCAGAAGTGAGGAATACAACTGCTACCAGAGGAAATGGTAGAATAGCACTGACAGTGAAAGAGTCCGAAAATAGCGAAGGAACAAAGCAGGAATCAGTGCTTACAAAAAATTTGAAACTGTATTCAAAAATGTTGGAAGATCAAGATGATTCAACTGAATCGTCGTTCGAACAAGAAGAACCTGATTATAGTTGTCAGACTGTTATGCAGAAGAAAGTTATGCCTCGTATTGCAGCTATTATGAGTAACGTTGATAACGAATGCGATACGAGTTTGGCTAGTGAACTTGCCACTTCATGGGTGAGAATAGACGGAGCTCATGAAAGTGAAGAACTACGAACGGACGAGGAAAGAAGGGAGCATGAAGAGCAATCAGAGAAGAAACTGACGAAAATCGTTCGCGGTGAGATCAACGTGGAATCTGATGGTGCAATGGCTCAAACCAACCTCATAGTTTGGAACAGCCAAGATGAAAGTAGACGTTCTGAAGTGCAAGGAAAATCATCAGAAATAGAAGCAGTTGCACCGAAAACGAGGGAAGGTGGAGACATGTTGCAAATGGAGAGGAAGGAGGACACGAATCGTGAAGATACTAATGAGGAAGCTAAGGAATTAGACGATCTGGTAATTGCGGTCAGTGAGGATGTTCGTGGTCACTTGGAGGAGAAAGGGGCGAATATCGCCGATGAGCATTCAACAAACCAACTGAACACATCCAATCCAAG